GAGACCCAGACATGGCTCACTCTCCTCCCTGTAAAATGACCTCTTTGCCGTCATATGGGAACTCATATCTGAAAAATCTCTAGACATTTTCTGATGCAAGTTGTTGTAGAAATGCAAAGCAGTGCATAATATTTCTTTTCAATTCATAAGGCACTGTCCCCTTAGTGGGAGGGTAGATTATTTTTCTTTTCTTGTGACATTTTTTAACAAGTCATCTTACATACTAAAAATGCTTTCAAAATAAAGTATGTCTGAGTGCCAGAATAGCCAAGCACAGTTAGCCAAGCATAGTTTCCCAGCCCAGTCTATATTTAAAAGCTCAGCTAGCCATCTTGGAAATGTGTACTTTAAGATGCAAAAGAGCCCAGATAAAAGCAATAGGTGTAACACTTGAATGCTTTTTTCCCACCATCAAAGTACAGTTCAGGGTATACATCATTCTTCTAGTAAAAACAGCAACCCCATCATAATATGCAAAGAGCCCAATGTTCATCCCATTGTTTAGGGAGGCATTAGCTGACTTTAAGTCTATGTTTACTTAAAACCTTGAAGTCTAAAAGCTGTTATTAAAAGTTTAATTCTTAATCTATAGAGCTGTCTTATTATAAAGAATTTTCTACAAAAAGAATTCCCAGATTCTAAAAATTGGAAACACTTTCATGTTTTAGAATAAAGTTCTACCACCAGTTTACTATGCTTTTGAAATCCTATAACCCATCTTTCACATGTACTCATATCTGAGTTATTATAAAGCTGTTATCTCATTTGTTCAAGGCTTCTTAAACCCTATTCTTCATGTGTTATATCAGAAACGTTAAGAAGTTCACCCTGGAAACTCGTCCTAAGTTACGTCTTAATCCTATGTTAGATCCTCTAGTTTGATATAAAAAGAATATTAAAAATGTTGCCATGCTCACCAATTCGTGATAATAGGCCTGTATTGCTGGTGGTTTTGGACCTTTAGCCCTGGGTTCATTAGGCTATCACTTTGCATCCACCAGCCTAGGCTTTTGTTTTTCAAAGGAAGGCAATATTTATTTTTCACCAAAAAATATGCAAATAAATAGTCATTTAAAATTTGGAAGCATACAGAATAATACAAACATGTGCTTGTTTCTATAAGTGCCTCTGATGGTATCTGATCTGATGAAAATATTTGTTTCAATTGCTTATGGCTTAATAAATGGCCTTGCAAGCTGCAGGACCAGGATTTCTGGGTTTGCAGCTTTCATATACCTACCCAGAGTGCCTGTGGCAAATGGGCACAATTGGAATTTTTAGTTGCACCAAGGCAACCCATACACCATAGTATGAATTTTGGTCACATTAGCTGGAGTATAGTTGATTGGCCATCTTTCCCCTTGACTTTTGGATCCATACACATTAGTAATTTTCTTTTTTATCTTACCAAACATTCCTGATTTGGCACTGCACTGATTGAAAGAATGTGTTTTGGAGAAATGAGAGAATAATGATAATTGTTTATCATTCCTAATAATTTAATCTGCAGTCATCCTGCAGTGGTTTTCCTCTAAAATGCTATGCAGTAAACCTTTGTGTCTTAAGGGAAGTCAGCGAAGGGCTATGTGTGAGAGTGTGTGTATGTGTGAGTGTGTGATTATGTATTCACTTGTGTACACTTGTCCTCAAACTTGTATTTGGAGCTGAGAGGAGAGAGATAAAAAGACAAGAAAGAAAGAGGGAAAGAGAAAGGTAATCTGCCCTAGTACTCTGAAAGGGGGTGAAACAAAAAAAAAAAGGGAAACAAATGGCCTGTAGCTATATCTAATGTGCTACTCACTTCCAAGTTTTCTTTCTCTTACAGAAGTGAATAACAACAGTTAAACTTTAAAGATAAACAGTTTTTTGATTAAGTTTCTGGAGAATAATGATACTTTTGTACAATTCTTGAAATACAGCCTACAGTAATCCCCCAAAAATAGTCTCTTTCAATATTTTGGAAATAATGACATCATAGGCAAATTGAACTAGCCATCCATTAATAGTATTCTTTGTACAAAGCTATTTCAAAAGAGGACCTGGCATAGTAAATTGGTGTTGTTTACAAATAGAATTCCCTTTCCTACATTTGTGGAAGAGTGGGAGACATCTCTCCTTGGAAAACAAATACATTGACAGTAAGACTTCTTACAGGTCCCTAACCTTTCTTTACAAGTGCAGACGTGTGCTTTGAAGCCCTTGCTTTGTAAGTAGGTTAAAGAGAGCAAGAACCCCCTGTACTATTCTTTGCTCTCCAAATTAGAATTATCTAGAATGATTAGAAGAAAATGACTATTGATTGTGTCTTCTAAAGCATACTAAAGAACTGAATTAGTATGAGGATAATTCAAGCAAAACCAAACCTGATATGTCTAGCTAAATGAAGAAATTATGTGGTTCATGCTTTTCCAGTGTGAAACTGTACATGCACTTCTTGGTTTCATTTCCTCCTCTTTGTAAAAGGTTTATTTCAATGGAATTGAAACAGTTACACTATAGTGGGAATGAAAATGGTCTGCCATATAAGGTAGGTTTTTGCAGATTGTCTGTGATATGACCATAATGAATATATTTCATATATATAGTTGAAATTTTGGTTAGGGATTTCTAGTGCAAAGCCAAAGAATATGTTTTGAGTTTTATATTTCAAGTAGTTTTCCTTATCAATTTAAAATATACCTACCTGGTCAAATAACATCAGGTTAATCAGGCAGCCTGAAAAGAAGCAGGGCATCTACCTGCTTCTCTGGTTAGTGAATGTAATTAGGAATGAAAAAGGCCGCTGTGTTGCGAGCCAAACCTGTTTATCAAGAACAAAGGAGTGTAGTATTTTAAATTATGCAGTTGCCTCAGAACCCTGGGTGGCCCAGACTCTTTCTTGCCTTATTATGCAAGATCAGCTTTGTTTTAAAGAGGTATGTGTATTCCTCTGACTTCTGCTACCTCAAGTTAAACAATATGTCATCAGAAAATATACATTATCTGAAAAATAATGGTTCTCTGTCCCTGGGAGACACATTTTTCAGAGATTAGTCTTCTAGATGTTTATATTTAAATGCTCAGTTTCTTTCCAACAACTTTCAAATTTCATTTTTTAGCAAGCTAGAGTTTGTATATCTGATATAATGACCTCACATTTGGGCATTATCTTTAAAACCAGAAAAGTCAGTCTGGTAGCAAATTTTTCTTAGTGGCAAAGTTAAAACCATGTGCCTGTCCAGTATGAAATAATAGTACTGGTAAAGTCAAATTTAAAGAGAAACTGAGTTTAGAAGAACAAAAAATCAAAATGCAAAAGATAATTTGTAGACATTAGCACTGGTTTTATATTCTTGTTACAATATTTACTTAGTACCCTTAGTATCTATGCATATACTTTGTCAGTGCCATCACAGTTGCTTTTACATTGTGCCTCATGCTGTAGTTTCACTTGTATAGGAAAATGTTAACCTTATTAAATTGTTAGTGGTGACAAAGCATTTATTACTTAGTACTTTCATTATAGTGATTCTTGAAAATAAAACACAATTGGTTTTAATTCATTAAGATAATGCAAGGCATGACAAGGCAAAAGAAAAGAGATCTCCTGTCCAGATCCAGATCAAACCAACCATTGGTAGTTGGCAGCCACCTGTGCAGAATGAGAAGATATTAATTAACACTAATGTATTTTTCAGTAATTATAGACCATATGTATTTGAGTGAATTTACAACATAACGAAAATTTTTTTTAATTTTTCAGGTAGCATAAAGTAACTTAGAGTTCATTACTGAAAATAATAAACAGATTGTAACAAAAAAGGGCCAAAAAGAACTATTTTCACTTATTTCTTATTTCAACAGTTAATGAGGAGACCATTGTTTTTGTCATTGCTGTTGTACTTAGTTAGGTATGCTTATAGTAAATGTTATTAGAATAAAGTAACATGCTAAGTCATGTTTGGAGAGTTTTTAAATTAGCACCAAGTGACACTTGATAAATTTAGAGATTTCATGGTAATGGAACTTGGTGTTCCTTGTATTCAAATTAGGATTCACTTGGAAGGTATTTTTAACACTTGACTTGTGCTAGTAAGTATCAGGGTATAAGCGAAAGAGTTGGATTAGAATAGGAAAATACCTATACAAATGTGCATTTCCTTGGGAAGTCCCTGCTTTTCTAGTTCACTTCATCCTCCCAGTGAGATCAACACAAATGTACTTAGTTCTACACCCAAGAAATTAAGAGACAATTCCTAAAATCTAGACAGGGTTTTATAACCCTGTTCCTTCAGTCAGCTCCCTGTTCTAGGGCACAAAAGTCAGAGTAAGGTTATGATTTCTCCCGTCAATCTGCCCTCAGTTCTGGAGCTCCTCTTTGTTAACGGTGACATTCAGCCTACTTTTTTCTTTTATCTCCATTTTGTAAATCAGGAATACAAAGGTTAAAAAACAGACACTGAGAGCATCCCAATGTTAAAGCAGCTAACAAATCATGGTTTGGGATCATTAAAACTCAAAACCTAGCACTAGTGATATGGCTCAGTGGTAGAGCATTTGCCTAGCATGTGTAAGACCCTACATTTGATCCCCAGTATGACAAAAAAAATATTAAAAATCAACAGCCAAACATATTCATTCCAAACCCTGACGAGTTTGTGTCACGATTACCAGGATAGAACTTTTAAAGAAGCAACACAATTGTTCTATAAGACTGCGAATGGATAGCAGAAAATCGAGTTTCATTGTTAAAAATGCAAGAGAATTTATGTGTTTGTGTATACATGTTGAAAGATCATTACTTATTGCTTTCGTTTCCTTCTTTTGGAAATTGCATTGTTGGTCTTTGGCAAGTCAAATCCCCACTATCCAGAAGAGAAACCCCTCAAAATAATCTACATACAACCTGAGACAACATGAGATTAACGCTGTTGTTTCTAAGGTGTTAGAATCTCCATATTTGCTAAATATATTTTAGGACTCTCCTTCCTTAACTCCTGTTTTCTCATCCTCTTCTTTAGGAGCTGTGAACTGAAAATGTCTGACGGTCTGGATAATGAAGAAAAACCCCCAGCTCCTCCACTGAGGATGAATAGTAACAACCGGGATTCTTCAGCACTCAACCACAGCTCCAAACCACTTCCCATGGCCCCTGAAGAGAAGAATAAGAAAGCCAGGCTTCGCTCCATCTTCCCAGGAGGAGGGGATAAAAGTAAAGTATCAGTGGCCGGGCATTGAAGAGGGGCTAGTTTATTCTTTCATTGTCACTTTCTTTCTTGGGTAGTTGTTTCTTGAGCATTGGCTGTTCAGGGACTGCCAGACCTTTACATCTCCATCTTCAGAGGATGTATTTTGTCAGAGGATCATGTATAGATTGTCTTTCTGTGGGGCTGACAGAAAGTACACTAATGATGTGTTTGCTTTCACATAAAATTGAATTAGGTCATGAAAAATCGTAGCAACAGTACTGCCTTGAATATATAAATAGTGACTTTGTTTCTGATAACAGAGTAGAATTTACAGTAATTCCTTCCTAACTATAAGCTATCATTTTTAGAAATTTAAGTGTAGGTGTATTTACTTTGCATACGTTTGATTTTGAATTGAGTATATAGGAGTTAGTACAAGTTACCACAGTGTTGTCAGTTTGACTATATCACAAGGTGGGAATAAACCATATTTTGTCTTCTCTTATTCTTCTACCTGTTGTTTCCTATACAATCAGCCCCATGTTTACCAACTATCACAACAATATCATTTACCTGTGTGGTGTTCATAACACCATTTGGGGCTTAAACATCATATGTTGACATTCAGTGACAGGTTGGGATATGAAATCTCTAGCAATTAATTGTCAGGTTATATTACTTAACATAAAGACAAAACATGGCTTCTATAGACCTGACCATTGAGGTGGGTGTCAGTGAAGTAAGTCCAAGGGCACTGGCATCATAGATGTCACCTAAAGGGCAAGAAAGGTAATGTCTTTAGAGAAAGGGATATTCTTAACCTGCTTCTTCAAGATAAATCAGGTAGCTTTGTAAGTGGCTTATATGGTATTACTATGATATGGTCTGTCATATGGAAAGCTGAAATCCTAATTAGTACCAGTATTGCCTCTTATACACCAACAACGTGCTTTGTTCCTTGTGACCCCAGGATGGAAAAGATGGAAATAACATTAAACTACTATATTGAAGATAAGCAAAGGAATATTGAAACGTTTTGTGTGCAAAGGATCTATGACTATACAACAGGAATTTTTAAAGCCATATTTGCTGACACTGAAGTCGCACTGGAAAAAATTGCTGGGAGGAATTTTAAGAATTGTTTTAAAAATATAAGGTGTGCCATGATCTAGACACCAAGTCTTATGTGACAGTGGTGCCAAAAAGAGGACCTCCTATGTTGTACCCACTGCAGCTGTGGAAAGTGATCAAAGAACAAAATTATGTACCTGCACAAATCTTTGGTACTGTTAAGATCGCTGTGCTTTGGGAGCACTTGAATAAACCTAATTGCCTTTTTGAAGAGCAAGAGCCAACTGATGCTGACATGAGGTCAGCAAAAACAGAGAGGCTGACATTTCTGTTTTGTGGCAGTACTTCAGGTGAACTCATAGTGAAATTATTGCTGCTCTATGGAAAGCTATGCCCAAATTTTCTCAGTGGAAAGCACCGAGCCAAGTTTCCAATGTACTGGCATGCAAACGGAAGAGCCTAAATGACTCTTCTCCTTAAGAGTTAATTTGAACAGTGCTTTCTTGTGGAAATTTGAGAGTAACTAAAACTTGAATTCAAAGTCCTGCTCATTCTTCATAGTCCATTTAGTGCTTCACATGCATTTGCCAATGTGCATAGTAGCATAAACATTGTCTTTATAACTAGCCACATCTCAAATCCTTACATTAGTGCTTGATCTAGCCATTCAAGGAGAAATATTATACTAAAGTAAATATAACTTTATTGTTCAAAATCTCACAAAAGTTCCTCTGTCTTAAGATCCTAGTGTATGGGATTGTTACACCATCACTACTCCTGTATTCTTAATCAAACACACATTTGATAATTTAACAGATCCTCCCATTATTGCTACCTGGGAGAGGACTTGGCTAGAGATGGTGAAATATCTTTCCATGATCCCTCCCCAAAATAAAGTGTCTTTGATCAAGAAGAACCTGTGAATGAGGGTGAACATTCCAAACCTGCTCACACAAATTCAAGTGCTGTGATACTGCTATAGGATGATCCCTGGGTAGGTTCCAGTCTTCCAGAGGTGATTATTATCTGCAAGAAAATAACTGTGAAGTTGAGGGACTGGAGACAAATACAGTTATAAATAATAGAAGCAAGTTTTTTTTTAACAAAATTAAACCTACCAAGGACAATTATAAAAATTGGTACCTGTGCATGTCAAATCTTACCTATTCAAAGCATGAATGATTTAGCAGAATTATGTAAAGAGTTATAATAATGCCTTCAAAACCAATCACATTGGACAGAGACCATCTTTAACAGAACTTAAATTATCAAGTGTCATTTAAAGCCAATGCTGGACAGCTGATGGGCTGCCTTAAGACAAAGCTTGAATGATTTAATCAAACTGTATACAGAAGTGCTAGGTGTCTTCAAAAAAGGCTTGAGAAGACAAAAGGCATATTCAGAAGTTCCAAAGTGATTAAGTGGTGTCACTGAAATTCACTTGCTGAATAGAGCTAAAGACATTAGCAAGGTTACGACTTCAGGATTGGATTTCAGAGACTGAGAACATCTGTAGACATCTGCGATTCAAACTAACAGTTCACCTCCATTTATTGCTTGTTACCCCAATTTTCCAGTGCCATAATGAGTGATAGATACATCCTCATTGCCTGTGGAAATCATTTCAGGATCTAAATGGAAACTGTGTACACCCTATCAATTTTTTTTACTAATTTAAAATGTATAAACTAATTCTTTTTATGTAATTTACTGTTATTGTTTCATTTATTGCACATAAAAATATTTATAAGGGCTGTCAAAAGTTCACTTGTGACCTCATTTCTTCTACCCATTTTTTTCCTCCTAAAACTATGATTTCCTTAGCTGAGCTCTTCTACCTTAGGGTTTCCTGAGAAACCTGTCCTTCATGGAGGTACAGTGGACCCTCGAGTTATGACTGGCATGACATACAAACAACTTGGGTTACAACTGGAATTTTACTTTTAATTTACAACCAAAGTCTTGAGTTACAACCTGAATGCCAGCTACTTGTGCCTGCAGATAATCTCAGATACAGATTTAACCCTTCAAGAGTTCTGGAAGGAGCATCCTTTCCTGTATGGGCTTAATTGAGAAATCCTGGGCCAATGTCTCTCTAAAGACACTGAGATCTGCCTGGGTACAAGAGAGAGACTTTGAAGGCCGTGTAGAGCCTTCAATTGACCAACTTGAGTTACAACCAGCCCTTGCAAACGAAGTGAGTTCCTAAGTCAAGGATCCACTGCCTTACTAATTCTGTGTTTCTGCCTGTTAGTGACTGCTTGAGTTGCACTACAATCAGTCTTGAACTAATGAAAATAGGACTAGACTTGAGTTCTGGAGATCCAGGTTCACGTCCAGCTTTGCCACTACTGAGTGTGCCTTTGGGCCAGTTATTTAGCTTCTCTGAGTTTCAGTTTTGTTACCTGTTAAATAAGAGTAGTATTGGCTAGCCTACTTCACAAGATATTTGTGATAATCAAATAGAATTGTAAATACCAGAGTGCTTCTAAAAGTAAAATTAAAACATGCTAGGTAATTGTGAAGTATTATTATATTTGTAGCATTTCTGACCTTACAAACAGAAAAACTATACTTTCAAATTTTTTTCTTTTTGAAGTAACTTTCTCCCTAAATAGAATTTATGTCAATTACAAAATGTTATAAAAATGCTTGTAATTTCATAAGTCAAAGGTAAATGCATTAATATTTTTTTGCATAATCCTTCTCATGATATAGGAATTGCTCATCAATCTCAAATACTTCAAAAATAAAGATAAGCACATAGAAAATAATAAAAATCACCCTAATCACAAATCCCCAAAACAATATTAAAATTATGGTAGCTTTCTTTCTTGTCTGTCTATGGTCATATATGCACATAAATATTTATTTACATAAATAAAATCATATAGTTCTGTATTCTACTTTTTAATTAACATTTTTATCATGAATATTTTCCTACATTAAAAGTCCATAGATATCATTATTGATGGTATATAATATTTCATCATATAATGTTATAGTGGTTTATTTAACCATTTCTTTTTTGGATGTTTGTGATAATTTCCAAATGTTTGTCATTATAAATAATATCACAAAGTCTATTTCATTACTTAAAATATTTGATTTGGTGACAGTAGAGAATTTTAAAAATTGTTTTCAACATTTTTTATATACATGGAAAAATTGCCGTTCTTTGTTGTTTGTTTCTAAAGAATTCTCTTTAATAGCTACATTTCATTGACCAAATGGAATTTTAAGAGGTAGGTAGAAGAAAAATAAGTAGTAGATGTAGTTTAAGGATTGAGGATGTATCTTTTTGTAGACAGCTCCAGGAGCTGAATTATGTTTTTAGAGCAATTTAGAAGGGACAGGTTGGCACCATTGTATATACTTTACTATAGAAAAGTTTTTAGGATTTTGATCAGGAAAAAGACAACCTGAACAAGTGGTTTGATTTTATTTTATGGGCTCTGTGAGGTGTGAGACTGATCATGTTTCTCTTGTTGACTACTAGAAGAAAGCTTGGAACTAAATTTGTGATCTGTGCATAGTACTTGATATAGGACACTATGGTATGTATGCACTTTGTATTAGCTGTGTTCTGGGCTTCATTTTATGTTCCTGTCTTTGTTTTATGTTTTTCTATTTTTCCTTTTATTTTCTTATCTACTTTGAATTTATGCTATCCTGTATTTTGTGTATTCTTCTAAGCCACATAACATCCATTTTGAAACAAGATACGAAATAAATACATGAATAAATAAACACGTTAATAAACCAACATGGAAAAGACAATGTGGCAAGTGAATGCAACTAGGACTTTAAAAATGGTATAGTGCCTCCAAAAGTAACCAATGTTAAGTACTTGAAGCGTGGAAGAACATATGAGAAAGAAGCAGGTGAGCCTACATTTGGAGGTGACATTTTCAGTGTGATGTCAAGGTCTTCTGAAGTGTGCTTATGTGTC